GATCTCAGTGAACGCATGCAGGAATTCCAACACCACAAGACAGTCGGAGAATGCCTTGTTCGATAAACGATTGCCAGGTATCGCTTCTAGTTCCGGTAGAGGCTAATGGATGAAAATGAGAGACGACGGTGGAAAAGATACCGAATGAATCCATCACATCAGCATAGCAGCGATGTAAAAATGTTTGTTGTGATAAAATTTGGCTCCCACTTGCCCCGTTGAGAACAATTAAAACGGGATGTTTGTCATGGTCAGAGTTCATCTTGACGTCATGACTTACGAGTCTCCGTGGTCCGGTTAACTACAGAAACCTTCCCAAGTCAATTTTGCATAAAAAGCTCGACAGATAGAGACCAGATGAAGATGAATAGCATAAATTCAGCTGGATGGCATTTCAAAAAATCAGTTTCAAATACCCATTCTTACCCCTGGATAGGTCACCTTGGAAAATCCAGGGGGGGGGGGACAAATTATCGGTCAAACGCTTTTCCTTCAGATGGAGAACCAAACTAGCTAGGATTTCTTCATGACGGTCAAAAAAGCATTCCTACTTCGATGGACAGCTACTGCTGAGACAATCGCACTTCTACAAAAGTCAAGTTCCAGTCGATGCCACATTGGGGCATGGGGCTGAGAGCCGATCGGTGGTTGCCAGATAACCAAAGTACCATCGTATACGAGGGCGTGAACCCAACGGTCGTAACCGGTTGGAAAATCCTCTGTATGTGTGCGGGCTAAGTTACGCCATGTACAGCGACCCGGTGAGAGGGCAGTAATCAAGGTTTTACAAATCACACAATAAACAGCCGGCGAAAAAACAAACCATTTTCTCCTCTGGAATAACACCAACTGAAACGCAGCTCACTCGCATCGGATGTCACTTGACTGGTCGGCCTGCTATCGATCTTGCCATCATTGACAGACCCGATGTATTTATTTACTGATCTGTATTTCAAATATTGGCTGTGTTTATCATTTTGGCACAAGTACAGTCAGCCCGTTCCAGTTCAGTGACTTCCTAATCTTCCTAATCAGGGGCGTTCAGTTCAGTTCACCGGTTCTAGACAATTGAATAGGCTTGTGTGTAATTCACTATGGCCCGGTGGAGCTCTCGTTTTTTGGCTCAGTGACGTGTATCAGACCGTATATGGCTTAGTTTTGCCATACCGATGATGAACGACGATGAGCATTTCCACAATAAATTGGTTATTTGGAGCTCCATTGGAAATCAAGTTTTAACAAGAACAAAAGTGGGTGATAGGGCATAAGACAATCCCCAAACGGTATAGGACTTAAGAGAGTCAGAAAGTTTCCGAAACAACCGTAGATAGTCACAACATGTGCTATGCTGGTTGATATTTGGTGACCATCTCGGAGCTATCCTTACTGCATCCCCCAGGTGTGCGTCATGGGACTTTTTCGTTCTTGGCCGCGAGAAGACATGTGCTGTGTGGCGCTTTCCTAGTTTAATAGTTTCGGAAATTAACCGGTTCATAAACCAAATTAAAACGGTGATAAAACATTTTGTTAACAAATACCAAGGGTTTTAATAATACATGTCAAAAAACAGATGATCTTCGCGTTATGTATCAGTCCTTTCAATATAATTCTGTTGGAAGAATGGATTATTGTCATCCCCCCTCCCTTCCCCAGACAACGGAAACGTGATAATCATTATGATCTGTTACGCATGATTACGCTGTTTAGGTGCCGCCCACAGTTAGTGACTCATGTCCTCCTGCAGTGAGAATTGTACCTCATTTCAACAAAAGGTTCAACATTAACGGCCACGAAGATTCTCGAATTTCCTGACGTCGGACAAGTGGCATGCCAGTCCATCGGCACCTTCCAAGTGGAGTTTATTTTTGATCACCGAAAATCACCCTGTCCCATTCCTCATTCCACGTGTTGTGCTCCTGTACCCATGCTGCATTCTCAGCCACACACACACACACACACACACACATACATGATCCTGCCTTATCTATCAGTTGCACTTCGCATCTTGCTTAGCAGATTCGGAGTGTTGCGAATTAACTTTTTCAATATGCGGGCACTTCTATCTAAACAGCACTGTCGTTCCATCTTTGCTCCACCCGCTGTCTGTCAGTCTTCCTTCCTACAGCCTGAACAGTTTTTCCATGCATCCGGATTTTTATTCAGGCCTTATCCAACGGGATTGGCAGGGGAAATCGCGGACCGTCGTTTCTGATTAGTCCATTCTGGTTTCAGGACTCCACCATCTGTTGCCCTTGTCGGCTGAAAAAAACGTTCACGCAGTCGTGAAGTGAGAGTCATGGACTTCGAGTCGTTAAGTATTTCACGAAAATGAACGCTCCATGGTTGCGCGGCGGTGCTCAGCGGAAGGTTTTGTGGTCTACAACAATAAACTTAATTTGGGACATAACAGTCAGTTTTCAGCAGACCTTGAAATCATCAGACAACCCTTAAACCAGCTGTAATCCGCTCAAGTAAGAGCCTTTTCTTAATTACGCCAAAGGTATTCTTGATAGCATTATGTACCTAGAAAACACTTCCGTGAGCCCACTGACTACTACGCCATGATCTTAAAAGTCATCAGCGGATGCTTCACCGGGTCGAATGCAAAACCAAGGTTGTCGATTTGTAAAAATAAACAGCTCGAAAATGCAGTTCTTCACAACGTCCACAAGCCAGCCACACTCCACTCACGACAATAGTGAGACATCAGGACAGGTAGGCCACTTAAAGTACCTAGAGTCTGACATCCAGCCAAACGACAAAATCAGAGAGAGAGAAAGAAAGTCATGTCTCGCGTTAACTGCGCACGGAGTATATCCCGACAACTTCACGAACCCTTTTTAGTACACAGCGAAATAAGCCTCTACATAAAACTGAGCGTCTATCGAAACATCCTTCTTTACGATCGAGCAGCGTCGTCATGGAGTGGGTGATAGGAACTTCCTGGAAAGCTTTGATCACTAATGCTAAAATTAAGTACCACGACAGTGTTTCGAACCCCGTTATCTATTGACTTGACGAGAATATGGAGCGGCTTTTGCGGTTTTTCCAACGAAGACGTCTTCAGTGGTTCCGTCATGTTCTTGTCGACTAAAAGACAGAGCTCACAAGAAATCAGTGGGTCAGGAGAGTCGAATGATAAACTGGTGATGGATTTCACAGCGCATCAACCTTAATACATATCCCAACATATGAACAGCTGCCATCAGTGAGATCCAAAGAGCCGATTCGTTTATTTATATTTATCTTCAAAAGATCGATTAAAGTATGCGATCACCTTAATTAGGTCAAACTTTGCGCTCTCTAAACGCAAACAAACCACCCGGTCCAGACGGTATTCCATCCATTGTTCTCAAAATGTGTGCTCCCGAGCTGGCGCTCATTTCACATCATTTTTTCAGTCTTTCCCTCCAACTTTCTTCCTTTCCAACCCCCTGGAAACATTCGTGATTTTTTCCATTCCCAAACGCGGCGACCTTTCTGACCCCAGCAATTACTGACCCACTTCCCTCACATCTGTTCCTTCGAAAGTAGTTGAAGCTATCATCCCAGACCAGCTACGCACGTTCCTTGAACACGAAGGACTAATGAGCGACCGCCAGTGTGGCTTCCGACATCGTCGTTCCACCGTTGACTTGCTGGCTCTTGTCTCACAATCCTGGTCGGCTGCACTCGATAATCACGGACAAACACACTTGGTCTTGCTTGACCGCGTCTGGCATGAAGGTCTACTGGCGAAACTACCCATGTTCGGGGTCCCTCTGGCGCTCGTAGTGTGGATATCAAGTTTCGTCAGTAAGCGAAACATCTCCGTCCGAGTGGATGGGGTTCTATCTCAGCCAATCCCTTTGAACGCTGGTGTTCCCCAAGGTTCAGTACTTACGCCCAGCCACTTCCTTCTAAAACCATCAACCCAATCGATTCTTTTGCCGATGACGCCACCCTCCACTGCTCTCTCTCTCTCTCTCACCACACTACTCGCCATGCCCAAACCAAAATCGTTGATGACCGTAGTGCAGTTAATGTACCACGGGAATCCAATCTCGAAAACATCTCCTGTTGCATCACAAACTACGTTTCATTCAATACTTTTAGTAATTCTCTTCTTTTAATTTCCCCAAAATATCATTCATTCCACCCACCCCCCTTCACTTATCTTTTGAATCCACCAAACTGCGTTCCACAAACTCTGTTTCCCTTCTTGGATTGACTATAAATTCTTTTTTATGCCAGTCCCATTTTATAACTCAGCTTACTCCTCGTCATGCGTCCAAGGTTGGGTTTCTATTTCGCGCCAGACGTTTTTTCATCACCGCTCATCTTTTTCTATTTTACAAAGCTCAAATCCACCATGCTCTTGAAAGCTGAAGTCACATGTGTGGTAGGGTTTCGTCTTCTTCTGCTTCCCTGCTTGATCGTATTCAACGAAAGGCCATCTGGCTAATCGATGATCCGACCCTAACATCCAGTCTGCAGTCGCTAGCCCATCGTCGAGCAGTTGCTTCATTGTCCCTGTTCTACCGTTATTACTTTGGTTTTTGTTCTTCGGAACTTGCCTCGGCAGTTCCTCGTCCTGCAAATTCTACCCGACCATCCCGTATACAGGCATCTAGTCATCCTTATCAGATTTAAATTCCCAGATATCGTACTTCTCTGATCCAATTTTCTTTCTTCCCCGAAATGCCAAGTTGTGGAACACCCTCCTATTTTCTGTTTTCTCTCCAACTTACAACCTGATGAATTTTGAAGGTAGAATCAATAAACGGGATCTTACGTAAACGTTTCCCTACTCTCCTTTTTACAGTATGCCATTTGTCTATGGGGATTTCCCCTTTTACTGTAATACACATTGTGTAATAAAAAAAATAAAGACCACGAAGAGAGTACTCACGCGTAAGTTGAGCAACTGCAGATCATTCACTGGCTTCTTTAACTCCTGATCCAAATGTTCTTTCACGCGCTGAAATGAGACGAAAGATGGGGATGGGAAAATTAGTGTGTTTTACTGGGAGGCCGATTGGTAGACCAAAACGCGGTAGCCAATTCAATCAATAATCATGTAGCCCTAGTTAAATTGGAGAACACAAAACGAAAAATGTCAATATAAGTAGGTGAGTCGTCCGTTTCGTGAGTTCTGATTACGTAACCTTTCGTCAACTGACACGCCGCTCACTTCCACTCGACTATTCTCTATGGAATTCACATTAATCAATAAATACGCTACTTGAAACTGGCATTACATGTAAGCAGACATCCGGGTTTGTTAAATCAGGGAAAAAACAATAAAACAACAGCAGACAGACAGACAGACAGACAGACAGACAGAGACAGACAGACAGACAGACAGACAGACAGACAGACAGACAGACAGACAGACAGACAGACACTTAAACATACCAAGTTCAAAACATGTGCACGTTCTTCCATCAACTCCCGTTGCCGTTGAGTCCGTTTCTCCTCGTCCAAACGCATTTGTTCTTTTGCTAACTGTATGAAGAAGTTTTTCATACAGTCTCTCTCCTATGAATGAAACAAATGAAGCGGAAACTGAAGGTGCGCGCGTGAGCGGAAAGCATAAATGAGAGGAGGATCATAAATAATAAACAACTCTCGACGCGCAAAGAACAAAAATCAACATCCACTAAATGGATCTTAGAGAAAGAGAGAGCGGAGAGCAAGACGACTAACTGAATCGGAAGACGAACGGGCATTTTAAACCTGAAATAGACCGGTTGCGAACTGCAACAGTGAAACTTGATATCAGATATCAGAATATTGAGCGACATGGAAGCGGTTATTGATAATGGTCATCAAGTACTAGTTACGATGTGGCCCGTGATCATAGACTGTATTGTACAAATGAGCAGGTAGACAAGCTCATTTTAATTGGAATAGATAGAATTCAGGGCAAGAAATCGGATTCAAAGAATGGCGTGACACAGTGGAATCCACCAATCGCAGAGGTTAATCTTCTAAAGCTCGCGCGCACGTGACTGATCGAGAGCCGAAATGCCACCGTACATCGTGGAAGCAACAAAACTTTCGTTTCCTCGACTGACAGCCGTTCATTAACGAATAGCTCTCCCATCTAAATTTTATTAAAGATGCATTGAGTTAGGGAATGTAACGAATGGAGACTGCAGCACCCATCGTTTTTTTGCTGCGTTCGGCCATGCACGCTCGCCGC